AGCCCAACAGAGTTTTCTCTCCCCACCATCCCCAAAAGAAGAGGGGGGAAAGCAGACAGCAGGTTAATAACACTAAAGAAAGAATTATCTTAAGGTAGGAAGATTCTCCTGAGGAAATCAGCCAACCTTTTGCTCGTAAAGCCTCAATTCCTAGCCCTTGGGAGAAGTCCCATCAGTGCAGACGACGAGAAGCTGGGTCTCTGCCGGGCTACACTAGAGAAGACAAAGGAGAATAACATGTCCCTTCCAGGCACAAGAGATAAGAGTTCAGCTCAGCGAAGCAACTCTACCCAGCGGCCATGGGGCTCGGGACTCCCAAATTCATACTGTTTTCTACTGTATCATGTTGCCAGCCACTTCATGTTAGAGGAACAATTATGTTCTAATTTATGGGATCTCTAAAGCTTACTCCTGGGGTGTCTGTCCAGAGCATTTAGAAGCTCCTTGAGTAAACTCTGTAAAGCAGAGAGCCCTGCTTTACATGGCGAGTTGAGCAGTTGTTTAATTTGCTCCTGTCCCGAGTGCAGGGTCAACACGTTTCCCAGAAGAGCCTTAGCCAATATTTTAAGTTACCTCCAAGCCTCTTAGATCAAGAATAGGGTTAATATCTTCTACCGTTCGTGTTCAGTTTTTCCGTCTGAAGGGGGTTGCTTAGCCTCACATCATAATCGACCAAGACCCTGATAGTCTTATTCTGACACCATTTAAAAGATGCTTCCGATGCTCCAGTGGTTCAATTATCAGCATCATTACAATAAGTGTGCTCTTTCCAAGCTGTGAGAATAATATGAGGTAACTTAATCAGTCCCCTGGCATGTGCCTCTTACCCCAACTTAGGCATCACAATAACACTCTGAGGAAGGTATTATTAACCCCACTGTACCGGTGAGCAAGTTGAGGGACAAAGAGCTTAGGTCACTTCCTAAGGTCATATAGTTAAATGACGGTTAAAATTCAAATTCTGAAACCCGGTCTTTTAAGCATATGTTATATTGCCTTTAAAATGTTGCCTTAAAAATTCGGGTATGCTTATTAAAATGATTCTTATATTTAGACTTCATATTTGTAACGGCATGGACAATGTTCCAAAAGCTGTTTGGGTAAAATTATTGTTTTGGAAGTACAATAGATTTGTTTTCAATGCAAAAGTCAGTGGAGGATCTTATTAAAGTTGTCATTTTTCAGATAATGGAAATGCTCAAGATCAAATATTTATTATTCAACTTGTAGCTATTTCCTTTAGACATGCATCCATACAAAACAGGATTATTTCTAGGCCTGCCTGCCTGCCTGCCTCAGGAGGACCAGTATTAATAACCTACTCTCTTTGGTGTCCAGTGACATAGGATAAGTGCCCTTTGTAGAGACTGTAAGATGGAGGTTATGATTTCTAGGGATGAGGAAGGAAAGCCAAGCACATTTTTCTGGAAACAGCTCCTGAGGAAGTGTACTTGTCTACTCCAACCAGCAACCCTCTTTCTGAGTCCCAGCCTGTCCCAGAACATTTCCTGGCCTGGAAAGGCAAGTGTAGCTCCAGACCGTGCCAGGCTTGTCTAGAACAGCCTAGAAAGCCCTCCAACAACCTGCAGGAGAGAGCTTTGGGAATATCTCAGGCTGAGCCACATTCAGCCAGGTGTGCTAAAAAGACTGAAGCCTCCTTCACCCACTGTCAGCCCACAGCAATGAGAAAAAAATGCCACTCCCCCTTTTGACACAGTTCAGACTGCCCTTTTGCGAATATAGTCCTTCTCAAAGCCACTCTCAGAATCATTGTAAACTCACATCAACAGCATATGTAATTTTGAAAGGATAACAAGGAGTCCACAGTGTGATTTAGACTAAGCTCAGCAGCTCTCCAGGGCTGGTCCTGGGCTGGGTGCCTGACCAGACCAGCCCTGCAAGACATTACATGACCAGGGACAAAATTAGACATGTGCAAGGGATGGACACTCCTACCAAAGGGCAGGTGCCAGGGCCCCAAGTGGGAAGAGGAGAGGTAATTAGGGAAGGATAGTGCCCACCCAGGGACTACTCCATTTCCCATCCCTAAGGGGTTCTTCACCAATCAGAAGAGAGAATTCTTTAACAACAGCTCCCCACACCCTGGCCAGGAGCCACCACTGGCTTCCTGGAAAACGTTTCCAGGCAGGAGGTGAGCAAAGCCAGGAAGGAAAACAACCACTCCGGGGATAATGGGAGAACAGGAGCTCTGTGACCTGAACTCTGGAACAGAATTCACCTGCTCTGCAAGGTAGGACCATTTCACTCTAAGCCAAGAACCTGCGGTGCTTCACGACATGTTGCCTTGCAGGCTGCCACGCACAAAGGGAGCCTCTGGTGTTTTGCCCACGGATATGGTCCTGGCTCTATGGAGATCACCTCGGTGATTACAGATGCACCCTGTGGCTTTTTGTGGCAGGGTCTCTGGCCTCTGGCCTCTTCAAATGGAGGATATTTGCATCAAGTAGGGATCATAAAATCAGAGACCCCCATGAGGCTCTGAGCCAATACCTACATCTCCGGATGAGCCACCTAAACTGATCTGAAAGAACTGAGCTTATCTGAGCCACGTTCAATCATTCTTTATTTTATTGGTTATTAAAAATGTCAGGCTCATTTTAGAAAAATGTGAAATATAGGCATATATAAGGAAGACAATAGTATCACTGTTCAGTGCTCCTAACCTTTTGGTTTCTGGGGTTTTCTCCCCCTATAAATGTATATGGGGGGTTATTTATGAATATATACATTCTGTACAGTTTTATTTCCTCAAGGTAAAAATCTCGGAAGTGTAATAAATAGGTAAAAGGGATGGACACTTTTAAGACTCATGCCAATTTACAGCTTCATCAGAAAGCCCTACAGGGAACAGTTGTACTCCTCTAGTAACCTGTGAAAATACGTGTAAACGTGTGTCATGTTTGATGAGTGTTTTTATCAGTAATAATAGGGGTAATAATCCTGACCTCCACTGCCAGGAAGTTCCTCCTGATATCTGCACTAAATCCCTTCTGCTGACTTAACTTCAAACCTGTTCCTTCTTGTCTCGTTCTCAATGAAAGAAAAAACAGCTGCTTCCTCTTGTGCCCCTGACTGGTCTCCGGGAAGACGATCAGTTGCCAAATCTTTCCTCGCCCTCTCAGTGTCCTCTGAGGCTAGCTAGCTAAATGGAGCCCGAGTCGTTTGTTCAAGGCCAAATGTGACCCACAGAGCTTTTCTCCTGTTTGTGTTCTGTAGCCTCTACGTCCTGGACAGAGGTCTCTGATGAAGGCCTGACCCGAGATGAGTATAGAGATTATCTCACTCACCCACAAGCAACATACTCCTATTTATACACTCAAGACTCAACATGGTACCACATTGGAGTGCTGATTCATGGCTTACTGATTCAGTTGTATTTGGCCTTTACTGTAAGTAAGCAAAAAGAAAAGAGTTTATATTGTCCATTTTGTAATCTCTTTGGGCTCTTCGCCAAGAGAAAACTTTTCTTCTATAAATGGATCCCAAACTTATCATGATCTTTTCAGGAATACGAGTATGGAGAAGAGAGGACGTTGATTTTAATGATGTGTAAATCTAAGATGAGCTGGTTATGGCCAGTGTCTTGAAATCATCATCTAGGAACCAGCCTTTGGCTTTTGATGGAATTTGCCTTTCTAATGATAACATAATGAAAACAGGGTACTTACCAGGCACTCACCCTATACTAGGCACTGTGGTAAGCATTTTGCTTATGCTTATTTAACTTCTCACATTAACTCTATAAAATGGGTACTATGTCCCATTTTTACAGAGGAGAAAAATGAGGGATTGAATGTACATGAGACTGGATCTTAAAACCTAATGTTTGGGTTAAAAAAAGCAAGAAGCAGAATGAGAAATACAGCACAATACCATTTATAAAAGTAAAAGGCATGTGTATAAAACAATAAAGATTTTATAAGAATATAGGTAAACAGAACACCAAACATGTTAGAGTGGTTATTTACAGAGAAGAGAGTAGGAAATGGGGATGAAAGGAAATACATAGATAACAAGTGGGCCCTTGCCCACAGCAATAAGGACAATATGCCACGGACTGAGCAGGACAATGCCTCAACATTGCACCTGAGGTCCAACTGAAAAAAACAAGTAACCCCAAAAACTCCCTTAAAGCAGGGAGATGGTAATAAATGGCTCCAGTTTACAGATCCAGAGAGCTGCCCTCACCCGGCTGTCTTGCACTCACCCCATGGGCTGTCTGGCTTAACTAGTCTGTGAATCTTCAGTTCTTGACAGCAGACCTGCCACATAGCTAAACCTCTTTAGGCTCCAGTATTTTGTCTTCAGCAACTACACAGTTTATATTTGATCTAGAGGAAGGTGGATTCGCAGTATTTCTTATAGGCCAAACTTAAGTGTGAGCTAGGCAGTCAGCCATTCATGCATTTGTTCATCAACTTTGTACTGAGTGTTTATTATGTCCAAGGCACTGGGCCAGATAGAGGCAGGGATGGATGAGCTAGAACTCTGGTCTCAGTGAGCTCCCAAGTAGTGAATCATTCTCCAACCATGGTCAGACACATCTTTCTCCTCCTGCTGTCCCCCTTTGACAGCAAGGATCTTGCTGTCAGAGCGCAGATAGGCAGCTCGAACCTGCACAGGATTTTCCAAAGCACTAACTAGTGTGTCTTAAGACTGTTTGGATTTACACAAAGAAATAGTGCTATCATGATGGACAACATTCATTTCCATTACTGGGAATTGATTTTTCTTGTAGCTCATCTTTCAAAATGGGTTGACCAAGAAAGAACAACAAATGTCACAACCACCCCAGTAAATGTGGCAAAATCTGCCTTATTGACTCATGTGGTAACTTCTCTTCCTGAGCCAGGAGAATGTTGGAGAGACATATGAGGAAGGAGGTCATTCTGTAAGGAGAGCTTGTGTGGCATGAGGCAGCCACAACCCCCTCAGGAGTTCAGGCTTTGCTTATACTTGGTTGGAGTTGCTTGACTTACCTCAATAATTTTACAGGTGTCTTCCAGCTGGCTGATCACTCCCTGGACTCGATCATTGCTTCCCACAAGGACAGCGATGCCATCACTGAGCTCAGACTAATGAAGGGAAAAGAGGGATGCAAGATTTTAGTTTTCTAGTCAGTACTGATTGCAGATAAATCACGGTATTGTCCTCAGAGATCCCTAATCCAGGGTCCATCGAACCCCTTAGGAGTAACAGTGAGGCTTAGAAGGCTTCTCAACCTCCTCGTCTCGTAAATAAAATTCTGTATGGATGTGTATATAAGTGCATTTATCTGGGAAGAGGTTTCATAGTTGTCACCAAATTCTTTTTTTTTTAAGATTTTATTTATTTGAGAGAGAGTAAGTGAGCGAGAGAGCATGAGTGGGGGAGAGGGGCAGAGGGCAGAGGGAGAAGCAGGCTCCCTGAAGAACAAGGAGCCTGGTGCAGCCCTCTATCCCAGGACCCTGGGATCATGACCTGAGCTGAAGGCAGATGCTTAACTGACTGAGCCACCAAGGTGCCCCAAGTTGTCACCAAATTCTTTAATGGAGACTATGACCCTGCTAAAAAAAATTGTAAACACTAAATTATAGACTATAGATAGAACATATTTTGCACCTTCTATGTGCTAGGTGCACAAATACATACATACTAGACTAAGTCATTACAAACTTGAAGCTGTAACATTGGACTGGTTCCAGGGGAGAATTTTCAACTTGAAATTCCTCTCCTCTTTGGACTCAAAGAGATTCCATTGTTTGTACTTAGCCCTTTCCAAGACTGGCTATGGACCACCAGGCAGCACTGAGTAGGGACTTAGGACACCTACCTGCTTGGTCCAACTCTGCCTTCAACTTCTTTATGATGTTGGGCAAACATGTAATCAACTTGGACCCTAATTTTCTCGGATATAAAGTGAGAAGATTGGACCAGAACAGTGGTCGTAAAACATTTTAAAGCTTCAGAACCCTTTCTTCAAAACGAAGCTAATATGGAATCCCAAAAGGTAAAAGTGAAGCTGCTTTGCCCAACAGGAGTGGAAGTCCTGCCAGTCTGTCCTGTCCATCCCACGTGACTTTTTGGGCTCTGAGGGAAACAAGTACTATTCAGTTCTAACACACCATGACTTGAGTGGGGTGGGTGGGTGTGGAAGGAAAAAGGGGAAATAAATCATAAGTGGATTGAAAAATAAGTAAATGTTATAGATATCTTGCTAAATCCTGCTTCTTTAGCGGTTAGTGCTCACTGGTTATGACTGGTGTTGCCTGGAAGTTTGGCTTTCAAATTTGATCCCAACTCTGATCCTCACAAGTAAAACACTGACCAAATGTGGAACCTATGATTCTGCACAGAAAGAAGCTGAGAGATGGAGCTGCTCAAGTTCTAGGTGCTGGGAGTGGCTGCATCTATCTTAGCACAGCACTGCATGTTTATTTGCATCAAATGGGCGCATTGCTACTTGCCAATGGATGAAACCAGGTTGGCAGGTCAGTGATAAGCTGGGGGACAAACTATAGTTGGTCACAGTGAGAGGGCTGAGGCTGAGGCCCTGGGGTGGGGGCATGTGCCAAACTCAGAGGGGGGCCTTTCAGCAACTGGTCTCGGTGCAAAGGCCCGGAGGCCAGCTTAACCTTGCCTTGAAGCCTACTACAATAGGAGTGGGGGAGAAAAGCCCTGGGAGGGGTGTGGCAAACAGAACCTTTTGTTAGCAAATGAGGAAAAATTCCTGTGCCTGGAGTGAAAAGTTAGCCTGTTCATATCTATGGTCTGAACTTCAAACGCCTCAGACCAGGTGCCAACACACTGCTTTTCTTCAGCAACCTCCAAAGTGCACAAAAAACATCGACCCTTGCCCTCTGCACACCTTCCTGACCCTGTGCACCCCTTCCCTCTCTAGCAGTCCCTGTCCTCTCCAGGGGATCTAGCGAGTGGCCACGTGCTCACCAGCACAGCACCCCTTCCCCCTCCAGCCTCCACGCCCTTGGCCTCAGGGCCACGTGGCTTGGCTGGTCCCCTTCAACAAAGGGAGCCAATCCCGCGGGCACTTGGAAGGGGCTGCCAAGGAAGAGCTGCAGGGGCCGGAGAGGCTCTGTTACCTTCTGCCTCTGGAACACGTGTGTTAGGGGTGCCACCTGGCAATCCTTGTGTGCCCCGAAGACCTTGCACAGAGAGCAGGTGGGCACCTCACAGTTCAGACAGTAGATATTGATGCGTTCTTCTTCATGCTCCTCACACATGGGCTGGTCAGACTTCTTTTCTGGTCTGGGAGGAGGTAGGCAGATAAATGTGTCAGCTTCCACTGGGGCCAAGCAGAGAGGGGTGATTAGCATTGCTATTCTAGAAAACTCCCAGGGTACCCTTCTTGCGCTCAGAGCTCTCCAAATTCAGTTGCCCTGTGGGCTTAGCAGTGACGTGCTGACAGATCTCTAACAACCAGCCTGGGGTAGGGGTAGGACTCAGACACTCTGATCTGTAGCATTTGACAATTTCTGCCAGTGTTCCCATCATGGCTGATTTCAAGCTGTTGAAGGTTTAAAACACATCTAGTGGAATTCCTGAAAGTTGAACCCTCGGTTTTTGTGTTAGGAAGGTGCTCTAGCCCTGTCTCCACATACTCGCAGGTCTCTCGAGATACTTTCCAATTATGGGTAAAGAAGGAGAAGTGGCGGATAAACTAAATCTCAAACTATTCCAGCTTTGCAGAGGTGCTAGGTCCCAACCCTCCAGCCTCCCGCAAACACCTTTCCCACCCAAAGGAGGAGGGGGGTGGGCTGGAGGATCCCAAATCTCTGATGATTAATCTAGATACTGGTGGGAAGTAGCTCTGTGTAAGAAGGAAAATGTCAGCACCTGCTTCATTCATTTGTTTGGGTCTCTTTCTGCCGTTAAGAAAATTAAATATAAATAACTTCCTGAGTGAGGACTTGACACTGATTAGGAGTGGTTAGTAAGTGCTCAATGAAGGTGAACAAACACTTTAAGCAATAAGAAAAATGCTGCTCTGGGACGTGGTGGTAACCTTGGAAGTAAGGATCTCACAGATAATCCCCAAGTTTCAGTTTTCCCAACAGTTCAGCACCAGCGAAAACTTTTCAGACCTGCAACAGGTGATAATGGAGTGTTGGGTTTGTGTTAGTGAGATGATGACCAAGTGATGAGGAATTGAAAGCATCAAACAGGAGTGACAAGTCATTGCCATTTAAGAAGAACCTGTTAGCTGGAGAATCACAAGCAGCCCAAGTTCACAGCACGTGGTAGGGCCTTGTATATTCCCCTAATGATCAGCGTGGCTTATGTATTATCATCAAGATCAAATTTATGCCAAGTCGTGGTGTTCTAGGCCCTCTCTGGAGAGCATCGTGAGAGATGTGGGTGTAGCCTACTTCTGCAAAAACCTGGAATTCTTACATATCCTATCTAAAGACTGAGGTTGTTAATAGCTTTCAGAGGTACCTGGAAAATGTAAATACAAATCCATAACCTTTCCTCACATCCCCAAACACATAGTTATTTAAAAGCATGGTTATTTAAAAGATTTGGGGCTGAGTTTTTCCATTGTTACCAAGATCCACTTTTAAAAAACTGCAGGTTTTAATGGGCCATGAAATCGATTATTATGGGTCATGAAATCAATTTCGGGGTCATGACCAGCATTGTTAAAATCAAAATAAAATAGAACAGTAAATACTGTGAACTACATGTAGTAAGAATAAGGTAATGATATGTGAAACTCTTGTTTCTGGTGTACAAAGATAGATGTGTATGTAGGTACATATGTGTGTGTGTACACATATCTAAGTACGCTGGAAACAAAAGTGTATATTTCATATCTATTTATCTTTATATCCATCCATGTATGTAATAGTCACTGTATCACAATGTAAAATGTACTTCTGCTGTGAGACATGAATAAAATGGTTTAAAAACCATTGCTGTTGATGTGCTACCATGTAGCTGCAGCCCCAGAAACTCAGAGGAAGGCAGGGAATATACTGATTTACATCTAGAAATCACTAGGTAGGTGTCAAGTCAAGAGATTGGGCTGTTGGAAGAAGCCCTGGGTCTGGTAAGGAAATTGTATGGGCTTCCAGCCTCAAGATTTCAGAATCTGGTTTTTGAAAAAGGAATTTTTGCCCGGTCTTATAGCAATATGTTTTCCATAAAATCTGTGGCCTCCTGACTTGAATTTCTGCTATATTCTCGGAAGCCAACTGAGGAAAGTAAACTGCCCAGGTCTGTTTCCTCCACCAAAATGTGAGTTCCACGAGGACAGGTCTGTCTGTTTTTGCTGGATCCTCACTGCCCAGAACAATGCATTGCACAGAATGGGTACTCAGCAAATATTTGTTGAATGAATGAGAAATGAAAGATAATTTGCCAGATTAATGGATAGTATTTCCTTGTGATCTAACGTAAAACCACTCATCTGGGGAAGGCATGTGAAATATGGGGAAAACCCAGCGTCACTTGGCACTCATGAGCAGCAAAGAAAGAGGCCAGACAACATTCCGAAGACTCCCATTTATAAATGACAAAGCCCTTTGGGGGTTATCTAGAGACTAGGAGTGGTGGTTTGCTTTTGCTTGGTCAAAGGCTTCTCCGCCTCCAATACCTTCCCTACCATGTATCTCCATCTCATAATAATAAATGTCAGGCAAGTGTCTGGAGCACATTTACTGGAAAATGGCACAGATGATGCTTTTGTGGCTCATCTCCCTGCAGCATTTCCTGAGGACAGCCTGTGTCCCTTGTGCTATTCTGATGTCAACAGCTCTGACCAGAGCTCAGGTATGTAAGTGTATATATGTAGACATGCGTATGCATATATAAATGTATAAATATATACAATATACACAGTATAAATATACACCCAGTACACGTAAACACTAAGAATGTGGCAATAGCCATAAGGTTGCATGTTTAGTTTTGATTGTGATTATTTTTCCATAATGCATACAGGCTGAGAACTACTTCCCATATTCCTTATCAGGTTTTTCTTGTTTAGGTGGCAACACGGGCCCAGGGGCATCACCCACTTATAAGTGGGTATATAATAGAAACCTTTAGACAACTTAAAACATATAACAGACTTGGGTCAAACATGGCATAGGTATGATGTAAATGCACTTTCATGAGGTGAGAGTGTCTGAGCTCACAGTTGTGGCTCAGGTCTCAGCTCCAGATGTGGGCAGTGGCCCCTAGCCATTCAGTGCCGACCAGCCTCAAGGAGTCTGTAGCCTGCTGTCTCTGGCCTCAGGTTTCTGGGACCATTCTGGAGCTTCCCGAAGGGTGGGCATCTGGTCTTGGTGACGCATGGCAGGTGGTGCCTTTACAGTCAAACTGATCTCCGAGTTTAATTCCAGCTCAGCTTCCCCATGTGGCAGCTGTGTGGCCTCAGGCAAGTTACTTAACCTCTTTCAGGCTCCGCTTTTATTCATATCTGAAAATTGGCCCGAGGGTCTTCTAATTAAATATGGCAGAATGAACCTATGCCTTTTTTATTTGTGTTTCCTGTGGAAATCCTACTAAAATGAGAGTGAGGAAATCATAAGAATCACATTCTAGTATAAATCAATAAGGACAAAAAATAAGCAAGATGACAGCAGATGAGAGATGTTGACCAAATGTTGGAAATTGAGAACATCTGGATGAAAGGAAGTGCCCGGCTTGAGTTGCATCTTATTCTGCTAAGTGCCTGCAGGGGAGAAGCCTGCAAGGAGCAAGCTGACCTGAGCTGTGGAACCCAGGAAAGGCTCTGGAACTTCTGAAGCCAGGTATTCTGAAGGCAGGAGTGTGTGGGAGGCTGCAAAGTGGAGTGCTTTCTGCATATTTGAGAGATTACTTGAGGATGTGCTCCACAAAAACAGTAGAATAAACCAGCAAAGAGAAAGACATAGGCTCTAGGAAACAAGGATTCAACCCAGGGAAGAGTACAAGTAAAGTAGGTGAAGCCCTCGGGGCACCTGGGTGGCTCAGTCCTTAAGTGTCTGCCTTCAGCTCGGGTCATGATCCCAGGGTCCTGGAATTGAACCCCGCAACGGGCTCCCTGCTCAGCGGGAAGCCTGCTTCTCCCTCTCCCGCTCCCCCTGCTTGTGTTCCCTCTTTCACCGTCTCTCTTTCTGTCAAATAAATAAATAAAATCTTAAAAAAAAAAAAAGGCGAAGCCCAGCCACATGAGGACACTGACCTGATTGTCTGCAGTGAAAAGTAGATAATGTCTAAATTGAAAAATCAAGAAATGGGACTATAGTCATAGTATACAGATGTCACTGGGGTGATAACAGAAAAACAGCTAAAACAATGGAAAGTGGTTGGCTCTGAGGAGTGAGACTTAGGGGTGGAGAAAGAGTGGGGTGAGAGTGGACGCCTCCTTAGAGGTCTCGTACTATTTGACTATTTAAATTATGTATATGAGTTAGCTTCAGTGAAATATTCAGAAATTTTAACAAGATAATAATAATAATCACAATCTCACAGGATTGTTGTGAGAATTAGAGAATCACACACGATTCATGTGTAAAGCACCCTGAATAGTGGTTGACATGTACTCGGCACATATTAGTTTTACTTATTACAAAGTTAATTATTATAACTTTCATGGTTAATATTAGCGAAATAAATTCCTGTTCTTGTCACCTCCCACAAATTGTGGCTAGTTCAGCACCATGCAGAGGTCTAGGTAAGAAGGCCAGGTGTCGTCAAGATCTACAATCTCTAGTCTTCCTGTGGGAGGTCAGAATTGACCAGCCCCTCTCCTTTATGTACCCACCCCAATGACGGTGAGCCAGAGATGGGTTCCTCTCACTCTTTATATCCAAGATTATTCTAAGGTTGCCTAATGGACTCAGGCTTCTGGGCTGGCAAGGCTGCCAGCCTCCAGGGAACACCTGGGTTTATGCCCAAACAGAAACACCTGGATCCTCTTTGCAACTTGTGGTTTTGCCACCCAGTAAAAATGTCCCAAAGGCAGGTCTCAAGTTCAAGAAATAACAGCATAAGAAGAATTTGGTAATCAGAAAAATACCAGTAGTGCACGCAGTTATGAGCTTCATGGTTGGAAATTTTGTTCATTACTTTTATACAGTTTGCTCACCTGGGCACTTTTTTGGCAAATGCACATGTAGACTTTATGGTTAAAGTAAAGATGTATCTTGTGGTTTTGCTAATGCTACAAGTTTTAATAGCTCTTCTCTGCATTTCATAACATTATTGCTATGATTTCCCATATTTCAGGCTCTCACTGTAGCAAGTAGCAAAATGAAATTATTGCAATAAATAGAACATGTAAGAAGGTTTGTGGTGTTGCTTTGTCAGCGGGCACTTACAAAGTAACCATTCTATGTAAGACACTCTACTAGGCACTGAATCAGTTGTTATATAAACACCTTTAATGATTGTCTGGGTTATTAATTGGTTATTTTTTTAAGAGACAGTGTGCATTTGCATTTTAAAGTAACGTAATACAATCAGATCAATCAATGAAGCAACAACAGCAACCATAGCACTTTCCTTCTTCTCCAGAGACTCTGGAAGCAAGGGAAATAGCTGACTCTGTGTCTCTGCAATATGTCACTGGCAATTACTCTTCTTCCCCAATTCCATGTAGATTCTGGCACTATCTAATTTAGTTTGAATCTTAAGCAGAAACTAATAGGCATAATGATTAAAATAATTATATCTTAGATTTATAGAACAGCTTTCCTTCCAAGAGTGCAAGGCTCTTAGAGCCCTGCAGATGTTCCATAAATACATGTCTCCTAATAAGAATCACAATGAGTTCATTTCCAGATGGTCTCAATATTGCTATCAAGCTTTGTGGACCGGACTGACCTGTGTACAATTGAAAAAGGGCTCTTCACACCATGCCTTCTAGGAATGAACTCCTGCAGTGTTGTCTCTAGGAAAGGAACTCTATAACCAATGTGATTCAATGAGGAAGAAGCCTTTTTTTCTTTTTTTAATGAATAGATGCGTATACTGAGTATCAGTCAATCAACAGGTGAATGCTAAGAGTATGAGGCAAATACAATCTAGAGATTAGAGAAACATAACCTGAATGCCATCTCCCCCGCCCCATGTCTCTAAACTTTAACTTGCTAAAGGAAGGACTGTGCATTGCTTTGCAACTTGCCAGAGTCCATACCATGACTAACTATGTTAGAGAACTTTGTTTTTATTATGATCATCTAGACAATTTTCAGGTGAGACTGTCTAAACTAGGAACTGGACTATTTTGGAAAATGCCATTTCTATTAGTTTCCCTTAAAGTTTTGTACTCTAGGTTTTCTGCTATGTAGAATCTGGAGCTACAAAGGACCTGCGAAGTGCAGAGATGTCTAAAACATACGTAATACAAGGCTTAGAGGGATGGGCCACATTATACCTCTTTCAGTATTACTGAATGGATTATTGTTAATGAATTACTTCACTCTTAAATTGATACAAAGGCTTGGGCACCAGCTGCCTTCTCCTTCCACGAGCAATTCTCACATTGGGAGGGACTCCCTTGGAAAAACAATGTCTGTAATGGGCAAACGAGCATTTGGTGTATTGATCCATTAGAACAAACAAACAAATAGACAAAAACAAGCTTCAAATGGGTTTGACACAGGGAGGAACCATACCTGGTGGACTCCTGCTTGTAGATGTCAATGATATTTTCCACCAGCAGGTTCCTCTGAAGGCCATATATCCCATGTCTGTCCAGAACCACTTCGTGTCTACAGGATGGGCAGCGAAATCGGCCCCCTGAGGCCACGGTGGTACCTCCTCTTGTGGGCAAATACGGGTTAGAGGCCTGTTCTTGCCGAGCAAGAAAAGAGGAATTGAGTAATGCCACACGTAGCTTTTCTGAGACTTCTTTTCACTCTGTTACTACAAACAACATCAACTTCTACTTTAAGCTGGCCATAAGATAATCCCTTAGAGCCTTCTCAGCAAGTGGTCTCAGAATACAGGGCCAGCACTTATCCACAGTTAACGGCCGTGTACCATGTTCAGCATGAGACACTTTTCCATCCAATGTTTTTATAACCAAAAGTTCCAGCCAGAAACTCCAACATTAATGTCTTGGGCAGCAATTCATTTACAATTTTGAAGCAGATTCAATGTTTTGAGGTTTTTTGTTTTTTGTTTTTTTTTAAATATGATTCTTAGTATTTAAGTAAAACTAGATTTGGGAGTAAGGAGGAGGCAGACAGCAAAGCACAAAGCAAATCATTAAAAAAAATGTTTTTCTTAAAATGAATGCAGCCTTAAAAGGTTTTCTAAAAGAATTTACTTAAAAGTTAAGCACTTGATTCTGAGAAAAGAGACTCTTTTTTTTTTTTTTTAACCCCCTAAATTCCAAACAAACCTACCTGGAAAATATCACTGGCACATTTCCTACACAGGTTATGCTGACAGGGGAGAATAACCACGGGCTTTGTGAACATCTCTAAGCAGATAGGACAGATGAGTTGCTTCTCCAAGTTATCCATGGTCTGCTGCTCTTTGGAAAAAGACTTATAATTCAAAGATGCGCTCATCTCCTGGCCGTCCCTGTGTGCACTGCCAGGGAAAGGGTGCTCCGAATGGTTTCTGCAAGTGTCTTCTGGAAATAATTCCAAAGATTGGGTGATCAAGTGTCCTTTATGGTTTTTTCGGTGGAAGACATTGTTTCAGGCCCAGGTTCAGAGGAGGTGCCCGAGCTGTTTTTAGCATCTGGAGACGTGGCGGGGGGGGGGGGGGCCACATGACAGTGGGCTGACTTGTCCATATAAGCCAGTGACAGGAGGATGGATTCTGACAGGTGACAGAGAACAGGAGCCAACATTCCTGCCCCAGGGACTGAAGAGAGTGGGTGGGAAGAAGGATTACAAACCCCATTTAGACAGGGTTGTGAAGAGAGGGAGGTTGAAGCTGACAGTTGTCAACAACAAATGCAAATGTACATGCCTAGTCACTGAGCCATGCCCTCTGTGAGCGCTCAATCAGAACGTGGTGATGGGTTGCTCCAGGACTGGGGAGAATGCAGCCCAAGAGTCTAACTGTATAATGAATGCCATTTATGTCTTGAGAGTTTAGGAAGCGAGTCACCAAGAGTAGCATGATCTTACTGTCTTAAGTGAAAACATAAAAACATGTCTTGAAAGTCATGCTCCAGGCTTTACGAAGGCAATCATCTAAAAAGACTTGCTTAACGTTAATTTTATCATCTTTGCAAGAGTTGTGTTCTGGGAAAAATTCCAACTTAAAAACTGATTTCAATCCTTTTCACCATAAAAATGTCTGTGAAAAAAAATCCAAACACCAGTCCATGATCCCATTTTTTTAAAAAAGTTGTGACTAAAATTCTAGTAAGTTCTTTTTTTCTTCCGCATTGTTCTCCTTCCTCCCTAACCCCCTCTTTCATCCTGTATGCCTACAAACCCCTCTAACACACATCAAAAACACAAAGAAAACTTGGCAATCTTTTAAAATTTAAATTTAATTTGCAGCAATAATTAATAATGAGGTAGTAACTGGCATGTGGGGTAGTACACCCATTATTTCATTTTTCCATAAAGCAGGGAACAGATATCTGTGCTATTGCCAACTGAAGTGAAAATGGAGTCCTGCTTCCATACCTGGGTTTTTTCTGGCCTGAAATCCGTACTACACCTCTTTGGATTTGCCTCCTCCTCCAAGTTGATTTTTTTAAATGATAGTGTCCCTGGTCATTTCTGATATTCTTGGTCTGCTCTTGAGTCATAAATAGCAATCTTGATGTTTGCCAGTTATTTGTGAAAGAACTGTTTCATCAATATATGGTTATTTAAAAATTGAAAATCAGATCAAAAATGAAAAAGAGCTACATATCTGTTTATATGTGATGAATTTGCAGGTTAACTTCTCCTTGATTTAAAAATATTCAAACAGTGACCACATTTTGTCAATATATCGCCAGTATGCACTTAATCATAAGTAAAGAGTAGGCCAGTGTGACTGGTTATTTATGGTCTTATTGCTGTGTGCACTGAAAGCTTATTGAGACTCTAAGAAGCTCTATTAGCTAATAATAAGTTACATGTATTCATAAACATTTCAGGCATCTTAGGAGAATTTTGTGATTCCTTTCAGTATCTATTTAGCAACTCCAGTACAGAAGGGATCGGTGACATTTTTTTTTTGTTTGTTTTTACTGAGTTAATTCAGTTCACCTAGCCTAGGCAGTTAACTGTATTTATCATTACATGGGCTATGGAGGTCTGAACGCAATATGTGAGTTATTTTCTAGAGAAAAAGTTTCTACAGTAAAAGACTCTTCAACCTAAGGAAAAGCACTTAAACTAATAATGTACAATATAGCCAAGACTATCCTTATAAGAGGAGTTTATTCTTTCAAAAAATATTCACTGAGTGTTTATCATGTGTCCCCATTGTGCTCAGCTCTGTGGATGGAAAGACAAACAAGACACAGGTTATTGTCCTCAGGGAGCTTAACAGTGGAAATGAGACATTCATATACAGAAACATAGTACAAAACAAAATGTGATAAAGAGCTACAAAATTTCAGAGTGGGATTCATCAGGAGGGCTTCATGGGTGGGTTGATCCACTGAGAACTTAGATGAATGGTTGTATAGTCAGGTGGGGCATAGTTGGGGCTTTCCAAGGGAAGGCACAGAAGCAAAGACAACAAGGCACAGGAGTGCGGGGAATGCTCAGAGTGTATATGGTGCTTTGGGCGGGAGGGCAGAGCATGCTGCTGGGCACATTGGCAGGACACAAATACTGGGCTGAAGAGTTTTTAACACTTAATAAATTAGGCAACAGGAAGTTGTTGAAGGTTTCTCACAGAAACATTTCCATGAGAGCTGTGCATTAATTAGATTAGTCTCACAGGGGTGGTTGGGATAGATTAGGGTGAAGGTGACCTAGGTAAAAACCAGATGGAAGGTTGTTAATAGCCTAGGTGAGAGGTCATGATGCCCTGCACTGGGCAAGGCAGTGGGGAAGAAAAGGAGGAAAGGGACTCTGAGGCTATAAAATTAGGATCCACAGGGGAGATTCGAATGCTCTGAGTCTGAGCAACCACCAGTGATGTGGTGAAGGTGCACAGTGAGTCAGGAGACAATCCTTTTTTCTTTCTTTCTTTTTTTTTTTTTTGATTGTATTTTATTATGTTATGTTAGTCACCATATATTACTTCATTGGTTTTTGATGTACTGTCCCATGATTCATTGTTTGCGTATAACACCCAGGGCTCCATGCAGTACATGCCCTCCTTAATACCCATCACCAGGCTAACCCATCCCCCCACCGCCCTCCCCTCTAGAACCCTCAGTTTGTTTCTCAGAGTCCATCGTCTCTCATGGTTCGTTTCCCCCTCCGATTTCCCCCCTTCATTTTTCCCTTCCTACTATCTTCTTTTTTTTTTTTAACATATAATGTATTATTTGTTTCAGAGGTACAGGTCTGTGATTCAACAGTTTTACACAATTCACAGCGCTCACCATAGCACATACCCTCCCCAGTGTCCATCACCCAGCCACCGCATCCCTCCCACCCCCCACCACTCCAGCAACCCTCAGTTTGTTTCCTGAGATTAAGAGTCTCTTATGGTTTGTCTCCCTCTCTGGTTTCATCTGGTTTCATTTTTTCCTCCCTTTCCCTATGGTCCTCTGTCTTGTTTCTCGAATTCCTCATATCAGTGAGATCATAGGATACTTGTCTTTCTCTGATTGACTACTTTCACTTAGCATGATACCCTCTAGTTCCATCCACGTCATTGCAAATGGCAAGATTTCATTTTTTGATGGCTGCATAATATTCCATATATATATATATATACACACACACACACCACATTTTCTTTAACCATTCATCTGTTGATGGACATCTTGGCTTTTTCCATAGTTAGGCTATTGTGGACATTGCTGCTATAAACATTGGGGTGCACATACCCCTTCGGATCACTACATTTGTAACTTTGGGGTAAATACCCAGTAGTGCAATTTCTGGGTCGTAGGGTAGCTCTATTTTCAACTTTTTGAGGAACCTCCATACTGTTTTCCAGAGGGGTTGCACCAACTTGCATTCCCACCAACAGTGTAGGAGGGTTCCCCTTTCTCCGCATCCCCGCCAACATCTGTTGTCTCCTGACTTGTTCATTTTAGCCATTCTGACTGGTGTGAGGTGGTATCTCATTTAGGTTTTGATTTGGATTTCCCTGATGCCGAGTGATGTTGAGCACTTTTTCATGTGTCTGTTGGCCATTTGGATGTCTTCTTTGCAAAAATGTCTGTTCATGTCTTCTGCCCATTTCTTGATTGGATCATCTGTTCTTTGGGTGTTGAGTTTGATAAGTTCTTTATAGATTTTGGATACTAGCCCTTTATTTGATATGTCATTTGCAAATATCTTCTCCCATTCTGTCTGTTATCTTTTGGTTTTGTTGACTGTTTCCTTTGCTGTGCAAAAGCTTTTTATCTCAATGAAGATCCAATAGTTCATTTTTGCCCTTGCTTCCCTTGCCTTTGGTGATGTTTCTAGGAAGAAGTTGCTGCGGCTGAGGTCGAAGAGGTTGCTGCCTATGTTCTCCTCTAGGATTTTGATGGACTCCTGTCTCACATTTAGGTCTTTCACCCATTTTGAGTCCATTTTTGTGTGTGGTGTAAGGAAATGGTCCAGTTTCATTCTTCTGCATGTGGTTGCCAGTTTTCCCAACACCATTTGTTGAAGAGACTGTCTTTTTTCTATTGGACATTCTTTCCTGCTTTGTCGAAGATGAGTTGACCATAGAGTTGAGGGTCCATTTCTGGGCTCTCCATTCTGTTCCATTGATCTATGTGTCTGTTTTTGCGCCAGTACCATACTGTCTTGATGACAGCTTTGTAATAGAGCTTGAATTCTGGAATTGTGATGCCACCAGCTTTGCTTTTCTTTCTCAACATTCCTCTGGCTATTTGGGGTCTTTTCTGGTTCCATACAAATTTTAGGATTATTTAGGAGACAATCCTTTTAATCCAGCTTCCATGTCTACCTTGCTTTGTGGTCTTGGGAAACTGACCTCACCTGGCTGAATTTCAGTTCTTTTATCTGTAAGTGAGTGGTATCCATAACTTAGCTTAACAGTATTTGTAGGGGAAAAAACCTTTGAAACAATATTAATTTTGACATTGAGAATCTCCAGTTCAATTATTTGATGTAAAGTTGATCTCTAGCCTTTCCTCTGTTTTTCTGTTTCCTGTCTCGTACTTTTTCTTAGAACTGCCTCTAGGAGATGACCCAGCAAACTAGCAAGAATCTCACAGGCTTAAGAGTCAAGTTGATAGGTAATTATCACTTTCCCCTCTTTATCCTCTTTTCTCCACTCTTCACTCCTCCCAACTCTCACAGTCCATGAAGTAGGCATGTGAATTGAGAGTAGGACATGGGAGTAGCACTCTGCTCTAGGGATGAACCAGAAAATTTTAGTCTGCTCCCAAATCATTCACAGAGTCTGAAAGATAGGGAAGATTCTGAAACTGAATCAGATTTGAGGTCAACTTCAAGTCTCTGGGAGT